AGCAGCAAAGAGTGACCTTTAAAGTTATTATAGAAGGACAAAATATGTCATCTACAAATAGCTAAGTAATGTACGATATCAGTTTCTAAAAGTTAAAGTATATTCAAGCAATATATACACAAATTGATGTATTGAAACAGTTTTGCGATATTTTTCATCTTAATTTTATGCGTTAACCAAGCAATCCAACCATATAGTGTTTTTTTTTATATCAATGAATTTAATGTTGAGCAGTTTTCGTTTTCGTCGGGCAAAAAAATGTCAGCACCCTCAATTATTTTTGTCCCGTACGCCGATAGAATTTATCGAAACAGCTGAAAAGAAAAAGTGAGATTTTGTTCACAAAGTAATTTTTGTGGAGAATCCTTGAATTACTGTTGCAACCTTCAGCAGCGGATCTAGCTTTAAAATTAGCGGTGAAATAAATTATAACCCCTAATTTTAAATTTAAAATACCTTAATAGCAAATGCATTGGTTATAAATTTTTAAAGAATAAAAATCAACAAATCATTGTGTTGAAGTAATTTATTTTGCATTTAGAAAAATCCGCCATAGCCACTTTCTCTTATCTCTATCACTGTATTACAGCCGTACAGAATGCCAAAAAATGTCTAATTTGGCTTCTTTCTGATGATAATAAGAGGTAACTGATTAGTAATAAGTCTGTGTTCTCATGGGCGTCAATCCTGCGATAATTGGGGGGAAGGGGTGCTATGCCAGGCTGATTTCTATTGAAAATGAAATTGTTTTGAAAAGAAATTAGCCAGGCATAGCAGAATATATGAATATGCCCCCGCCCCCACCAATTAAGACAGGATTACGCCAATGTGTGTTCTACAAATACGTGAATATTGTCCCTAACCAAAACGCAAACTTTAATCTTATAGAACAATTTGCATTAATTTGCGTGTTAAAGCACAAAATTACAAATACACCTGGTTAAAAAAAATGCCAGCTCAATAAATAAGACTGTTTTTGGATAATTTGTTACGCTTATTGAACATATGAACTACATAGTATGTTTTAACATCTTGCATTGACACCCAGTGTCAGGGGCGGATCTAGGATTTTTCAAACATCAGTCATAAAACGTCGGAGGCACTCCGCGCTGGGGGTCTGAGGCATTCTCCCCTGAGAAATTTTGAATTTCAGAACCTCTAAAATGCCATTTTCAGCGTTTTAGAGCAATACAAGATGTATTTGTGGGCATCGTTTTCGGTAAAACAACACATTTTGCTTACGTTTTTTTCAAAAAAAAAATGAAGTGAACAATACTTGAATGTTTTGCCAAATATTTAGGCTCATTATCATGCCAAATATATGGCTCATTAGCATGTCTAAGAACGTAAAATTTATTTTACAATAATGCTATTCAAAAACAGATATAGTCTTTAAAAATTTCTACCAAGTTGTCAGGCATAGACCCCCCTAGAGACCCCCATTCAAACCTCTATGTATTTAGTTAAGTTAGAAATTTGGTACTACAAGTGACAGTTCATAAATATAGAAAAGCTCAGACTTCAAACCATGCAAGTTTATTGTAACCCTTTACCCATCTCCACATCAGAGCCAGCAAACTCACTTTTTGAGAAAAAACTCAAAATTTTTTTCTGTCAAAGATTAAGAAAATTATCAAAGTGAAAAATTGCAGTTAAGGACAGCTTAATGCCATGAATGTTTCTTAGGCATTTTACTAGACTATTATCTTCTGTAAGTATATGCAAGGTGTGCTATATAGCAATCACTAGTAGCATTGTATTTGCAATTACAAACAGAATGTAACCAACATGTCTTTAATTATATAATTACATGAATGTTAAAATTGGTTCATGTGTCATGCTTACTGGTTATGATAAATATCTTTTCATATGATCAAAGCTCGTTTAAATGTAAATCTGAAATAATTTAGTTTAGAAATTATACTGATCATCAGAAAAATTACCTAGTGATCATGAAAAATACTTTGCTGTCTTGCCAAATTTCAAGGTTTATCTGCATACATTGGAAGACATTTTTACTTTATAGAAAATGCTATTCATACATCATTAGCCCTTTGGAATTTATGGCAAACAATCTGGTATGAGCCGTAGATTAACACACCTTTACATCCCTACATGAGGTGTTCAGTTAGAAAAGGGGACAATATGTGACATGGGACAACATTTCATGTATGTGAAATACTCAGGTTTAATACCATTCCAGTCAAATTGTCAAAATAAAAAGCTTCATGGATCAGAAGACTAAAAATCACAGGTTATAGTAAACAGCTTCTCATGTAATCAATGTTAGTTTTCTCAAATCTTAAACAATATGTAGTATAACTGTCCGATGATTGAATGATCAATGATCATAAACTGAAAAGCCCCAAACATTTGTTTATGATAAAGTAAATAATAGTATGGCACCTTATGGCTACAGATTTTTTGTCCATTGAAATATATTTGCAGAAATATAGGATTTCGCTGCCATATAACGGCCACGATTCCCCAAGCATTAAAGAAATCATAGCCAAAAGTCCTTCGGCAACAACAATTTTAGAAGCATCAATCTGCTTACCATACGCCATATTAACATAAATCGCATCACACACTCGCATAAATTGACTTTGATATATTGCATTCATGCATACACTTCACTTGTCCTTTACTTACGATTTTCGATGTAAATTTCCGCTGATAAAACTCAAAACAATGTTGGCTTGCTTTTGAACATCAATGACTGAAATGTCGCTCGCGAGATCGTCTTTGCCAAGCATTTACAATTCATCCGTAAATTTTTCACCCTCTTGAAAAAATTCCCAGTTTGGAAAGCAGCATTCATGTCAACATATGAATTTGTAAAAGATTTCCATAAATTCCATCTGATTGTAGTTTAGTTTCTATCATGCTTATAAAATTACTATGAAACGATCAAACATTCAATTCAGACAGTGAGCTTGACTATGTTAGTTCAGTTGGCTATCAGTCGAAATCGGTCAAACCAATCACAGTAAGACAAAATTCAAATGAACCAATTGTAAGATAGCAATTGACTCCCTTAGGTCCGGCCACCCTATTATCGGTCGAGATTATTCCAGACTGTCCACTGATCTGGCCATTGACCAATAAAATAGCGTTTCTGGCGTTCATAGACTCCTTTATAAGTCGAACCAGTCAAGCCACCCCGCTTATCAGTCGGTTATTCCAGGTCAATTAAAATTCAACTGATCTGGTTACCAAGGAGATATTCGTTGCATTAGTCATTAGTTTTCAATAATAAATAAAGCTTGATTTTTATCACGAAGTAAATGCGATAATAAAGTAAGAATAATTAATGATTTTTAATTAATATGAATAGGTAATTTTTTAATTTCAAATATCAGTCGCGCGACGGATTTGACATACTCTAGATCCGCCCCTGCCCAGTGTCGCATTACTAATTACGTGGTCTGTAGGCTAAGACAAATTTAAGGGCGTTTAAGCGATATCTATTCCTCCTACTATGTTCAGTTTCCCTTTGTTTCGCATTTCCTGTTTGTAACCCCATTGGGTAAAAAATGGGAGAACTGCATTTTAATGTTCAAACGAAATTTCGAAAATCATTGCCTTTGTCAGGGAAATGGAACAGCCAATACTTCATGAGTTCTGAGCATTGAGCCTTTGAACAGTAGATAGCAATAAAGCCATTTTTCCCTGTATTTTATATCTCGTATGAGTTTTCATCAGCATCAATGATCTAGATTAAGCTCATTTAGCTAGCCCGGAGTATCAAAAACGACCAAATCCTAATAATGTCTAGATACAACGGGCCTCCCAAAAACCCAGGCCTGTAGGCTTAAGCCTATATAGCCTACTGGATTATTTGCCCCTGTTGACACTTTTGCATGACAAAATTTCGTAAAATAAATCAATTAATACGTCATTACCAACTTCAAGACAACATCATTTTATAATTAGTTTATTTCTTAACGTTAAAAATAAAAATCAAACCTTGTATGCAGTACAGCAGTACATTAATTTGTTGAAGTTGGAATTGTTGAGTAGGTCTTGTTCGACGACGAGGAAACTTAGTTTGTTGGCTTTCAAAGCAGCCAGTTTTAAAAATTAAAAAGCCGTTTTCATGTCGTCATCTCAGTATTATCAAAACAATTTTTAACATCTTCACTGGGCGTTAAAATTGAAGTGACTCTAAAGTCGTAGTTTGACAATAACATTCAATGATGATCGGTTTTACCCTCCATCTTTACCTTTGGACGTATGGGGGCCATTGTTCGTAATTGCTCATTCCATTGTATTGTTGAGTCTTCTATATAGACAATACATTTTTGTCATATTGCTACGCGTTAGACTTCTTGACCATTATTGTTGCCATCAAGACTCGCATTCACACCGATGCCAAAGACCTTGCCTCATATAAAAATAGGCACGTCGAGCATACATGTTTTAATCCCTCAAGCCTTACAAGAAACAAGGTTGAATACATTAGTTTAAATTGAAATATTCTTAAAATGCAATGTTTATGAAAGATAGATAACGACAAAAGGGGTTTTCATTGCAAATCTAGCATCCAGCCCACATTCAAAACTTCAAGTAAAGCATTTTGCTGGAGGTGTGTTCACCTCTAAGATGTATGGAAAATAGTTATCTAAAGTGCAAATGTGAGGACTACGGTTGTTCTGATGGTTGCACAGTGTTTTGAAGTAGAAAGAACCGCAACTTTTTTTCAAAATACTTTTCACAAACAGATTTACTTCAGTCTTCAATTTTTACAATTCATGCATTATCCTGTCTATTTCAGTTCAGTTGTTAATCCGAAACCTAACCTTAACTTTTACATTAACATTCACCCTTATTCTAATCTAGAACACCCAAACCCAAATGCGATTTCTAACTCCACACCAAAGCATTCATTGTCACATAATTGTTGCAAGGTTGAATCTTCTTCCAAGGGCAACATGACACATGGGCAATATACATTGCTCACAAAGATTTAAAGTGCTTACAAAAAGTTGATATGAGAGTGGAAAAACAAGACAAATAACAGTTTTATTCATTTTTTTATGACCTCGTCTACTTTTTTCACGTTTTGACGTCTTTTCGCGGATCGTGTGTGTATTTTGTAACGTTAAACACATTTGCGCGTTCGTTCCACGCGAGGATCACGCGTGTCAAAGGTCATCGGAAAATGTGATGATGCCAAATACGTATATAAACGTTGAACTTTGATTTATGAGAACCGCGTTTCGTCAAAACAGTGAAATTTCTCATCACAGAAAATAGGAATATACGAAAAAATTTTCGCCAAAAAGACTTTATCAAACATCTCTATTTTTACAAATGCAATTTTCTTCACTTTAAGGTGTCTATATTGATTAGCTGTATTTGTGTTTAAAAAGCAAATTTCTCAAGAACAAACTCTAAATAAGCAAAAATGGCAAATCATGTTGTTGACATACAAGATTACAAATAAAAGGCCAAATTATAAACAGTTCTTATAGAATACGCAAACTGTTAACTCATCAGTCATTTCAATCTCCTTGGTTGCCATAAGCTCAAAATGCTTATCAACAAAATATCTTTTGCGAGACAATATTTCTTGGGAATGCGTTTGAAACAACAAAAAACTTTAAACAAATTGAGTTGGTGATTACAAGTGAGAAGAAACTTTCGTGTTAATATTAACTTCAGAGGAATTTGTAATCACCAACCGCTATACTAAATTAACGAGAAAAATTAATCAAATTTCAATGTTGCCTTGCAGAAAACAAGGAAGCTCGTTCTGATATTCGTTTTTAAAAAAGTCTGAAAACTGCCCCTTCTCGTCTTAGAAACTGTTCAATTTGCTCTTCGTTTCAATAGTTTCGTGACTTAATACCCTTTCCCATCATACTAACGTAAATAAGAATATATTATAATATGTATAGTTATAAGGCAACCGAAGAGTCCCGTATGTTCTACGTCATGCTTCAGCACATATGCTGGCATCTCGTTTAAACTACTTCACCACGGAATATTTCAATGTTTTTTCGAGAAGACATTAACATATAAAGACTGTTTCCCATTTCAAAGAAGCTTATATCTTTGGCCATACTTGCAGGAATGTCCTGCAATTTGTCGAATTTCGTGCTTGATTTATTGACCCAATAATAAATCTCGGGGTCGTTAGAAAAGTTAATGATTGCCAGATAGGTCGTCTTTCTTTTTCCCATTAACGGACTGGACATGGCTGTGATTCGTCTTGCCTGCGAAAAAAAATGAAATATGATTGTGAACTTTGTAATAATCTTGCTTTTTTGAAGAACAAAACGAGATGGTATACGCATGTCATTGTTATATATACGCTGGTAAATTTCATTCGCTCCACCACTTCAAATGATCTTGATTCCATAGATTACAACTACGTACTGACATACAATGTATACAAAGAAATAGTCGTACGATGCACGCATTATAATAAAAAACATTTCTTTGAAATATGTCGATATTGAATCAAGTGGAAGCATGTACATGATAATTAAAACGTTTGGACATTTCTTAAGATTTTACTAACAGTTCAGTTCTATCACATCTACACAAATAATATATGATTATCACAAAGCGTTGTACATGAATCACTAAGAACAATGATAAAACCATTTCATCAACGGTTCATGCTTTTGAGACATGACCATGTTTCGAATAACTAAAGAGATTCCCTGATTTTTCACTAATCACCAGTCTTTGTTCGAGGTATCCTTACCCAAGTCCAGGGAGTGAAGCAAACTCTATATTTTGAGGGAGTCTGGGCATTAAATTTGCCAACACATTGGGCGTGGCATGGACGTGGTTGGTTATAGTAATAATGCATTGAAATTTCGTTAAAATATTATAGATGGACGAATAATTTTTGCAGAACGATGATTGGAACTCTCCAAACCCCAATCAATCGTGACCCCCTTGGTTTTGTTCATACAGAATGTCCGAAATCGAACAAGGAAAGCAATCTATAGCTGAGATAATGAAATTTTTAAACGGTAGACTGAACATGCTGGACTATATTTCCTGCCTAATAAATATCTTGTTTCACTAACCCAATGAGCGGTTATATTCTGAAACGATTCAAACTTGTTGCCACTCCATTTCAGTATGAGGATACGATTCCTGCGTCCACCGTTTGATTTCATTGGCAAGGTCGTGACTGCAAGGAATTCCTCGTTTCCAGCCTCAAACGCGGCCAGATTGTGCGGACGATCTTGCGTAAATACGCGTTGGATAAATTCAAATCTTGTTCCGTTCCACTGATAAATGTAAACATATGGACCTTCCTCCGTAGAACCTGAATAGGAAATAAACATTAGTTATTTAGCAAAATTATTTTTGGCAAATACTACCACCGGTGGAATAGTGCCCTTTCATTGGCTTAGAAACATTATTGGAGGTCATAACGGGAGGTTCGTAACGGGAAAAACAAAGAAATTTTGCAAGCAAAAGCAAAAACTCTCAAGTCTTATACAAAAATTAATTTTTGTTACATTTGCTTACACGGTATTGCAGAGAGAAAACGGACGTCTGTTCGTAACATAAACCTAGCACTAGCACTACGGTCTAGAAACCACCTCGCTCATGTTTAATAATAGTGTAAAATTAAATTATAAAATAAACACAATGAAACGCGTGAGCTGATTGGTCTAGAACCGTGTTTGCATTAGCCTGTGCAAAACACGTCTGAGCTCAACCAATCAAATCAATCAATCAGTCAAAGAGAATTTGCAAATCGATCGTGAAAACATTTTATAGAAAAAATTGAAATGTTTTTTCCTTTTGCATTATTGATATTTTATAAAAGAAATAGATATTTTTCGTGTTTGCACTGGCTTATTAAAACCTCGGAGACGTTTGTGAGAACTCTCGAGCATGTGCAACCCTCGACCTCCGTTCTCGGGCTTGTACTTATCTGCTCTTGAGTTCTCCCAAAGATGTACTCGGTTTGCATAAGCCTGTGCATACACAGTAAACATCTTTTAATTCTTAATTATTATATGGCAATTGTCAAAGATTACGTTTTATTGGGCGACAGAGGTTCACGCGAGAGTATTAGGCCCAATGACGTTACTGGTCATGTAAACTGACATTACCAAAAAACTACAATATTTCGAGAATAAAGAGAGATGAAAAAAACCGCTGAAAAAAGATTCATTGTCGTTTAAAGTTTTATATTTAATAAATAGCATTCCAATAGAAAAATGAAGATAAAACACTAACAAAACAACATTTCTTCACCTGAAAGAGCAAGAAGTGTTTCGCCATTCACTTCGAAGACTTCGACTTGCATTCCTGTTACTGATATTGTTTGCATTGGCTCAAACTTTCTTCCATTCCAACGCCAAATCACCGTAGAATAAGGTCTTTTATTAGCGACGGCAATGTATTGCACACCTCCCAAATGAAATGGCTTGACGTCTATTGTTCTGTGGCATTCCAAAGAGAATGTCTCGTTTACGAACTTGCTTTTTGATTTCTCATAGCGGAATATGGAGCACGGGCCCCGGTAATAGTTCGCTACAGTGAAATATTGTTCGCTCCCAATTCGAAACGGCGACCAGTTTCGCGCGTTGTTTAGCTTGAAATTCTGATAGTCTTTAAAACTAAAGGATAAAAGGAAAAGTTTGTCAATGCATACTGTGTGAAATGCATTAACTTAAAAAAAAATATTGAATTAGGTTTAGCGTTTACGAAAATGGGCATAATATGTACAATTGCACACTCCATTGTGGGAGCGCATGAATGTTTTAATTGTGAGATAAAAGCAATGGATATGTAGGAACTACACTATATTTACTTCGTAATCATATACATTCCTTATAATTTCGCCTCATATTTTGCCATTCAGTATAAATTATTCAGATTACCATTAAAGGCAGCATCGTATATAATTCAATGACTTACATTGGATTATATACGACATACGATGGAATTACAAAAACACAAATAAGTTATTAACGAAAGGGTAATAGAGTCATGCTTTGCGCGCTTAAGTTCTCTTAAGCTTCGCGTGTTGCGTGCTTAAGTTTTTCATAAAAGGGTTATTTCAATATGATACATGTCAAAGCTATAAAATGGTGGTAAATTGACGATGTGCGTAAATTCAATAATTTATGACAATAAAGTTTAGACAGTAAACCGGAGTTACTGATATTTGGAGTATCCGATGCTTTCAATAGTTCAATAACTAAAGTTAGTGAAACTGCAATCGCGCTGGCCACCCAACGTGTACAGCTTATATTTACAATGTTACCATTTTTTTGGTTAAAATAACCAATATTTCAATGGTCACAAAAGTTTGACCAATTTAACAAGTGATCCAAGAATAGTGCAAAGTTTCTTCGAAAAAATGTTCCTAACATGGCAAATAAAATTAGTTTGAAGAACGCTTAGTATCGAACCTTGGTGTTTCAAAAAATGCTAAACTGAAATTCATTTCGAGAAGTGCTTATCAAAGGCTAAGCAGTTTGTTTTTTGACAAATAGCTACAACTACTCCAAGATTGCGTAAATAAACGTTGATTTGTATGCACACTTACATAGCAGAATAGATAATAAGGACATTTGGCACGCCACAATCATATGTTTGTCATTCATGCATAACATTCTTTTATTATTACTATGCAGTATACAACATATAAATTACGAAATCGCTCATGGTTTACTTTGTTTTGGTTATGCTGCATTTCATTATTCTTCTGACACATATGTGAAGTGTATATATATATAACACTGATACTTATTTCTTACAAAATATTTTTTGTTTTTGAATATTTTTGTGTTTATGAATTAGAATCAACAATAGTGTTTCTATGCAAATAGGGTTAATTAATGAACTCTATATCAAAGACTACACCCATGACTGCATTTACAGAAGCTGTCGGCAAATTATCCCAAAGCTGGGTGAAAATGTGTCTAAGCGAAAAACAAGTATTTATACCTTGCCGTGATAAGGGAAGAAAAATTTATCACATGCAAGACAAACCATTTAAACTCACTAACCTGCCCGAGATCCATTTAAACATTCGAAACCTCTCATCGCCAAGCTGTGAGAGGCCAAAGTACAAAGAGCCTTCAAATTCAAACACACCAATGTCCCAGGCGTCCGTGGATATCGATTGAATCATGTTTTTCTTCATGAATTTCATCATTTTACCGGGACCTACAAAAATTTCACTCGGTATACAGCTTGAATACACTCAGCATACTCAGTATGTAGCTTCGTATTTTTATAACAAATAGTATTCCTAAAGTTTCAAATTCCATGCTTGGCAACGTAATAATTATTTTGCAGTTATTCAAAATTGCCAAGCGTTTCGTTTGTATTCTAAGAAAAGTAGTATACAAGCAATATCACGGTAAGCAGGCCAGACCTGTATAATGGACAAAGGAAGTGGAGGTACCAAACAAACGGAGTGACATAAAATGACCAAAGGAAGTAGAGTTATCATAAAAAAAATACAGACAAGAGAAACTAGAGTGACCGAAGAATGTGAAAGTAGAAAATGAAGTAGAGTGACCTAAGAAAGTGAACGAGTGATCGAAGAATGTGAAAGTAGAAAATGAAGTAGAGTGACCTAAGAAAGTGAACGAGTGATCGAAGAATGTGAAAGTACCAAATGAAGTAGATGACCTAAGGTGTCATCGAAGGATGTAGAGATACCAAATGAAGTATAATGACCTAAGATAGTGAAGGAGTAACCTAAGGATGTGAAGGTACCAAAAGAAATAGAGCGTCTATAGAAAGTTGAATACCAAATGAATAAAAGTGGCCTTATCTAGCAATCTGAGAAATTGCGGGTGCATACATAACATGATGAATCTGAGCCCAGTTACCATTATTTAGCTTTGTAACGAATGATCTCAAGACAATCTCAGAAAAATTTAGCTACTTGAGTTCATCTCGCTTGGGTTAGTATTGAAAACACTACGCAAGTCAAATAACATACCTTTGGTGCTGCTTTCTGTCGCTAAAAATGAAAAAATTGAAAAGAGATTGAATTTAGATCAATTGGCCTACCAATTGACAAGGGGCTAAAGGCCTTACTGCATTGATACACATTATAGCTATCTTGTCTGTTTCACCAACTTCTTTTATTCAACCAACATGTACTCAGTTAAAACTTGTTAATATATTTTCATATACAAATTGTACTTAAAAATGCAGAATTGTGAAATGCTACGTAATCAGCTCAAACAATAAAGTGATTAAATACACGTTCAACAAGCTTACCAACAGTCAATCCCGACGATTTCTTACTCGAAACTACAATATTGCCTTCGATAAGTTTCGTGGACAAATTGTTGAACTGGCTAGACCGTATGTTACTGTTCAAACTAGCAATACCAGTAAAAAACATGATAATTCAGTCAATGAGTGAAGCATATTAGGGATTTTATAGCAACGAGTATGTGCTCTATACAACAGGCTAATACTCAAAATAAATATACTGTTGAGCTTCCTGTACAATTAGCAGGTCAATTAACCAATGGATATTGCAAAAACGATAGCTGTATTGTATATTGTCAAGAACAATGTTCGCAGTGAAATCGGATGTTCTGTTTCACTGCAAACGTGATGCAACATCAAAGCAATCAAAAAGCTTCATGAAGAACGTTTTCAAATAAGCTTAAAATAATAGGCTTACTTAATGGTTTGCATATCAATTCAAAACCATTCGATGTGAGATATTCTCCTGTTTTACAAAGAGGAAGCCTTATCGGTGGACCCTGAAAAAAAAAGTAAAAAAGAATCAACTTTTTGTTATTCGAAGGAAAGTAATGAAGTAAAACTTCGTCTCTTTTTAAATTCGACAGCATTAACAGGGATAAAAAAAATCTCTCAACAATAAATAGTTCATTTCCAAAAAAATGACAGAAATTTCTCGTGTAGAATGCCAAACATAACAGTTTATTCTCTGATGAATGTCCTAATAGTCAACGCAAGTTAATCATGAGGACAGCGGAGTGTATTTACGAGAGGGGAGGTTATCGACCGTATTGCATCCTCCCCTCCACAAGCTCTGCGGTCCTTGTATCATAAAACACAAAATAACGATCAAGTTTTCGCATGCCAATACTTCAAGCAAATTTTAAAATTTCTCTACATCATCATTTGCGTTTGTATTTTTTGAAATATTTTTCCATCAAGGGGAGTGGGCTAGCCCGTGCAGTAAACGCGGGCAAATGCTATTGTTTTTTCGATCAATTATAAAAATATGGTTATTGGTTAGTGTTATAAGAATAACTTTTGGCAAGATTTTAGTAATTGTGCAAGTCGATTTAAACGTTGAATCAAAATGTGGCGAAGACAGCTTGATAGTTCGGGAAGAGACATTAATACACGCATGTTCTTCGCAAATGAATTGGAATCCAATCTTTCAGATTTTAGTTTTAAGTATCGTCGGTTTCGCCACCTTTCAAGATGGCGGCGTGCTTTACTCGTAACTATTGAAGTCAGTTTTTGAAGTCCTTCAAAATCAATTGATGAGCACTGCCGCCCACATCACCTCATCTTTTATAGGCTGGCTTGGCCACTAATTATACTCGTATGCATTTAACACGCCATCTTATTTTATCATTTTTTCTCAGTAAATTCTTGGCAACTAATTGTGCTCCCAACTTTTTGAACATTTGAAACGCAAACAATAGAGTTGATCTGACAGTAAACAAGAATTTTTTCCTCGAAAAAAAATACAATGCGAAATTTTTTGTTTCTACCTGCTGTCCACGTTCTCCTCGTTTGCCCCTTGGCCCACGACGTCCTTGCGCACCTTGTAGTCCTGGTGATCCGGGCGGTCCAGGTGGACCTTGGACCGAACGACTTTGTGATTTCTATCAAGAGGTTGGACGTTTCAATAGTAATTTCGAGGGTCAGTGTGATAAATTTCCGTTTCAATTGTTTGAAGTTGGGAGTCACAGCTTCAAAACTCGGCGTTTTTTAAAGAAAAACAAACAAAAATGGTTGCTTTGAATTGTTCGATTCACCATAAATTTAAGAGAGTGACGTCATAGGTCTAATAAAATCAAAGACTCTATAATCACACATGTTTGCATTAAGATGATAACTGTCAAAAACTTTTGAAGTTACGCTCCCAAATTCAAACGACTATTAATTTAATAATCTTAAAATTTTTTACTTAAGATAACACAATTTTTATATATATAGACATCAAACATGCATACATTATAACAATTAATGTCATCAGTATAATAATTATGTCATCAATATAAAAATGCATTAGTAATATCATTATTTTTTATATACCACTTATTGCTGACGATATTCTTTCATTGCTTTGCATTTATATGATAATTACGTAATCACTTTAATGCAGAATTTTGATTGATTTGTAGCAAAAGCATTAGACTTGAAATGATTTCAATTGCGTGCGCGATAGACTAGTTTGACTTCCCTGGTGACCAAGTCTTGTCGCCTAACTTGTTAACTTGTAATCGGTTTAACCTAAACGCTAATCAACCAATCGCAGTGAGTCTCACGTCAAGTTAACGTGAAACTTTTATCATTATTTTGCCCATATAAAAAAACTTTGAAATGGCTCGGTTTATTCTGTCTGAATACATTAAAAGATCGGAAAACTGTTTGGTTAAAAAAGGGTTCCTATAAGTCATTCGATTATTTAAGCTAGTCTATGGTAAATACGTGGATGTCGAAGAATTTACTAATTTACAACTTTTTTTGCATTTTACGCGAGGAAAATATTTTCAGCCCATCACAATGACCCCACTAGATCCCGTTTACACATGAGGTAGATAAGGAAAGTAATAAAATTATAAAAATAACTTTTTATCAAACTACTTTAGATTTCAACGCCTTCCGAAGCAAAGTAAAATTAAAGGAGTAAGGTTGTGGATGTGGTAAAAACCAAAAAAAGAGACTACGTTTCGAAGAATTCGGGGAAAAGGTGGAGCACAGCATGCTGAATTTCCACGACAGTAATTTAAGCGTTTATTGCGCAGGGTTGGAAATTGTTCATACAATGTGCTTGACATTGCACGTGCAAGTATTTGAAAATATAATTGATGTTATTCTAAGGTTTCTTTAGATTAAATTACTTGAATCACATTAAGCATGCGAATACACTTTTGGTTATACTCACTGACCTGTATACTAATTACCTGGACGGGAAATCCACATCCAAATTATTATATTTTATTAACGCACGGCCGAGTATCAAAAACATGGATGCCGTCATACCAAATAAGGCAAATTTTAGGGGAAAACGTCATCAGAATGAAAAATAAAAAATTTTCAGCCCACCCGGATTTCTACCTAATACTTGTAAAGTGAATACATAATACAATAGAAAGTTTTATATCTCAAGGCTATATACCAAAAAATGGTTTTTTTTAAAAAATTCATCGGTAAAACATGCTGCACTTTAATGTGGTACACAAATGATAAAGTAGTGAAAAATAAAAACGTTACATGACACTGGTAAGCAATAAGATATTGTTTATTTTAAATATTATTCTTTATTATTAGTATTTCGTCTTAGTTTCTTGGCCTCAGAAGACTTTTAGGGTGTTTGGCATGCATTTTCTAAATTTTTTCTCACTACTGAGTTTTATTCAATGTTTGACTAGTCTGTTTTATTCTTTGCTTAAAAACAAAAAATAACTAAGCATAAAATCTCTTCAAAATGTGGATATCTTCCATCAAGTAAAACAGCTAAAATTCACCTAAGTCTTAAAAAGAAATGAGTTCATCTAAAAATTAGTGTAACATTTGCTCAATATTTTTCAGTAAAACATGAAGAAAAGCTAAGAATAGAGTTGAGTTAATATAGCAAGCAGTGCCAACAATGTACAGTACCACAAAAATATCTCAATCTCTTTAAGATAAAATTTGCTTTTACAGTGAAAGTTTTGTTCAAGATATGCTTTTGACTATGAGCATGTTAAGTCTAATTTACTATTGCCTCATTTGACAAAAATCCATAAATGTTATGATTCCAGGTGATCCAGGATTCACATTTCTTACTTGCACTAAAGAAGTAGGAAGAAGCACAAAAGGATGTAGAAGAACAAGAAGAATATTGAAGGGGGAGGGGGCTTGTTGAAATTTTATGTAACGTTTTGGTAACATATATGAAAGAGACCCCAGTATTGTTTATATATATCAGGTAGCCCCTTGTTAAAATACATCTCTGAGAGGAAATTATGTGTTTATGATAAAGATGAAGTGGAAATAAGTAAAATGAATGATTAAAATTTAAAATCAAAAACAGTCAGTTGCAAAAAGTGAAGTTGAAGTTTGGAAAGCAGGTGGTTCTGCAAAGATTTTTAGTCTCTTTGCACGAGTTGTTAACTACTTTGTTTAAACTTGATTCTTAACACTAACACAATGCCAAAATATTACGAAAATTACACAATAATCCTTACATATTTGGCTTAATATTTACATTAACACTCTACTATTTGGTTTTTTTATTCCCATTCAGCAAAAAACAGTATTTTGTTAGAGAACCAAATGCACTTTAAATTCATACGTTGTAATTTTATAAAAAAATGTAGTTCTCAGCAGTCGCTTAAGGATTATGCTGAATACTTTTGTAGCAGTCCACCAAGATTTAACTTGCAGTTGACAGGCCAAGATATTTTCACACATTTTCCCTAAGATTCGATAATTGTACCAGGCTGTTCACGAACAAGTACATAGTGTGCGAGTGTTTATTTTTAGTTTGAAGACATTCACGGTCCAACAAAAAAATGCCGCGTCTGGAGTTATTTTAAATTTAAATTGTTATTTAAATATAACAGAAGTTTCTTTAACGTAGATATTTTTATATTCTTGATTTTCTATTTGATAAAACGTTAAAGCATATTTTTCAATCTAAAACGTTATTTGTAGTTGTTTTCACTAATTTTCAGGTGGGAGTGAATGATAAAAATGAATTTTTCAAGTGGAAGACTCTACCCCAAATTTTCCTTCTGGCAACCCATATTTTTTATACCCGGTTCCAGACCCCTTCCCCCCCTCCCAGGTAATTTAATAGAACTCAATGGTTATACTGCAGAAAAATATATTGATCATATTGGCTGATCTATGGACACTATATGATTTCGCCTGCATGTATCTTCGATGTCTACGAAAGAAGATTTTCACTAAATAACACCTATGCATTAGATAAATTGATAAATATCACAGATTCTAAACTATACATAAACAAAAACAACAGATAATCTCTCCATCAAACTGTAAATATTTTACAATGAAAACAATGTGATGAAATATATTAAGCATTCCGACAAATGCGATTATTGTGACTGTCAATACTTTTTAAAAACATCCCGTAAATAACTGACATGTCATCACGATCTAATTGTGTTCACCGGAAAAGAAGATTAACAACTATATCTCCTAAGCATCTTCAAGAAATCGGTAAAACGTAATCATGGGTGGCAGTAATGACAGTTTTTCAAATTTATACAGGAATTTGAGAAAGAATGAACAAACCGGGAAAACGAGTACCTATGAAATCATCAGACTTGGCCATCCCTTAACTGACTAGAAGATGCAATTTTTTCCAAGAGGCTGCTTAAATGAGCTCTACCATATGAGAACATGCATTATACGAATTGCAAAAATTGATAATTGGAATGCTGCTCATATTAATATGTTCACATGTCAGTAATCGCAATTGATTTCAATGCAAATATAAATAACCTCCCCAAATCATAGACAATATCCACAGTGAGAAAGAAAGAACGTGGCTGCAAGACAACATATATGTTTCCTGGTCATCAAATTATATGTTGCCTCCTTCAGCCCATCAAAGCTTTCTTCTCCCACACAACATAGGAAACGATTTTGCAAAGAATATTTTGACTGAATCAATATCAATTCATCGCTTCGCATCATGAAATTGCACTTAGTTTATAATTTATATTGCTTAATACACCAATGAGTTTCAATGGCTCTTAAATGCCGATAACATAAATAGTCAGCTGCCAAGACTCTCAACTGAATCTTTTTGATCGACACCAGGAAAATATTTTCAGGAAAAACCTTCACGAATTAGTGAATTTTTTGACTGCTTGACTAAGGTCAGAAAAACGGGAGACTCGTGAGAAAAATACAATCGATTTGTTCATGGATTATGAGTCTTTCACAAAAAATTGCGAGGCAAATAGGCATTGAAGTAACATCGTTGAGTTCAAACATCAATTGACGAAATTAGCTTTAACTTGTAAACTTAACAGCAGACAAATATTTTAGGCGATTGAAATCCTAATCACCCCAGTTCTTCAATTTCATGTTGTTTGAAATGTATAATCAGTTTAAGTCATTATTTTAGGGAGCTTTACTAGCACAGCTGTTCATCAACACTAAAACCCTTGTCGGACATATTTTATTTAAGGCATATATATACTTGTTGGAATTCGCAACAGTAAAATAAACCATATACCATAGTGATAATCTAGACTTAGTCCCCAGTACCTATTGACACAAGCATATTGCAATGCTAAACGCTATTATACACATAAAACTCAGTGGTGCCCGCTGGATTTTTTCGTGAGGTTGCAAAACACCACCAAAAGATCACTTAAACCTATTTTACACAATTTTTGATTTTACTGACATTTTCATGTTACTGTTGTTACAAAAACAGAGACCTTAGTTAGGAAAAAATTTGGGAAATGCCCCCCTCGCTGGGGCCACTTCAACATGGTGTAGTGGTGTAGTCAGCCCGCAAGTTTGGTCGTACTATGTAAATATTTGGCTGTTCCCTCACAGTAAAAACAATATTAATCTCAGAAGAAATAAAGCAAATAGTCTGTTATTCATTTAGCCATACAAAACTCGTTAT